CCTCATTCTTCCTCCCCAGCTCTGTCTGCTGGGCGTGAGGCCGTACGGTGTGGGACATCCCTGGGGGCAGCTCTCCCGGCCGTGTCCCCCCCCGACTCCTTGTGCACCCCCGGCCATGGCGGGTGGGGCGAGGGGCGGGAAAGGCTCAGCAGAACCGAACACCCCTGAGTCGTCAACACTTTTCAGCACAAATCCGAAGCTCCATGCAAGCTACTGTGAAGAAAACTAACTCTATCCTAGCCAAACCCAATACATTTATTTAAAGCTGTTGCTGCTACAGAAGAATTCTTGATGATCATTTAGAACTTCATCTTTGGTTGATATCATCAATCATACTGTAAACCTCCCAGGGGCTGTGTTGAGGTTGTGCTACCTCTCTTTGTATTATTTTGACATGTTTATTTGTTCATGTTTACATGCATATGTTGATGAAGGTCACTTCCAGCATTTCAGGAAAGCTAAACTGAAATAATTAAAATGGAATCGTGTTGACTCTGCCTTGTGTAAACAACTGAGTTGCTGCCATGGTTAGGACGCTAATGCACGTAGCTTGTAGTCCTCTGCTTTTTGAGCTTACAGGGTAAATAACACAGGAAAGTAGCTGCTGTGCAAATAAACCAACATTTTGTGTCGGCTGCAGTCATGTACATTATCAGCAGGTTCCACCACCATTTAGTAGAATGTGAAGATGTACTGAGATTCAGGGACTTTGGGATCCTTGCCAGTTTCTTTGTATTCTAGTGGTTAAAGATCCTGCTCTTCCAGCATTTATTACTCCCCTCCTGTGCATCTTCCCTCTGGCTTTTTGCAGCTGTAGGAGCATGCTCTAGGCAAATAGGTACATTTTCTGGAAATTCTGATAAGTCTTAATAAATCTATATTAATTGTGTGCAAAAAGCAATTTTTACTCGAGCAGATCTGGGCAGGCTTTAAGGGTAATGGCAGGAGGCACACACTGCTAAGCTCAACCTCTGGCTAAATTTCTGATCTCTGCAACATGGAGATGCTGTAGCTGCTCATTAACATCAGCAGAACTGAGGAGAAGATACTGTCTCTGAACCTTCTTATGCAAGAGGTAGACATTTTAGCCTAACTTTTTCAAAACCATTTAGTCTAAAGCAGACTGGAAATAACTGGCTTTCAGAGCTGAAGTTTGGCAAATGTATAGGCATTTGAAAATAGGGTCTTATAAATGAGAGAAAGTGAAGTACAAACTTAATTGTAGCAGTTGTTACTGATGTCATCTGTAGTGCCCTATAAGCAGGAATAGATAAAATCTAATTAGACAGAAAATACTACTAAGATTAAAGTTTGTGGGTTTTGCTCTGTTGAGCCAATAGAGAGAAGAGACCAGAGCCAAACTGCCATCTCTGAAGGAAAAATGGGTCTTACTGAGTCACCAACCACATTGCACAAATCTAACCCATACTTGTCCCTAGCTTGCTTGAGATCTTAGTTTATGGAGAACAAGACTCTAATTCAACTGTTTTCTATAAAGCAGTGCAGCACAAAGAAGCATTCCGATGACACCTGTCCAGGTTATGTCCAGATAAACTTGATGGACTTGTGCTGTCTGAAAAACTTCTGTGTTTTCTTATTATGTCTTACTTGTGGTGAGTTAGCACTACAGTTGTTTATAGCCTTTATTTGGAACACCTGTAAGCATTAACTTAATTTCAGGTACTGCTAATCTAGAGCAAAATCTATATACTGCATTTTTTCCCTACGTTTCTAACTGCATTTAGACAGTGAAGGATGACTGAAGTCTGTAGAAATCTGTGTATGTGTGCATTTGTTTCAGAGCTGGGATATGTGATGTAGTATCTGGTTTGATTTGAAGACTAGCACTGTTACATGACCACGACTTTGGTGGTCCAAACTTCCAGTGCTGCTTTACAGACAATTAAATATGTATGTATATTCCCTTACGTGTGCAAAGCTCTCTTATGTCTGGTTATTTGGGTTTTTTTTGGGGGTAGGTGTTCTGGTTTTGTTTTTATTTAATGACCATTTGTTTGTGCACACTGCATTAATAGGGGTATGATGAAAATGCAGCCTTGTTGTCTCATGTGAAACCATGAAAACAGAATATTTCTGCTGTCAAATAATTTTAGGTATTGTTGGGCGTTGAGTTGAAGAGGCACTGAATACGCATAAGATATTTTGTGACAGAATACTTAAGTTTGCATGGGAAAGCAAGATACATACAGATAAATATACATTTTCTTGGCAATAAATTTGCTTACTGTGTTTCTTCAGGTGAAATAGTAACTTGGTTTTTAGGGAGTACTCTTGCTGTAGCTAATGAAAAAAATGATTGCAGAAAAGATGGTTTTGAATGAATCATCTCAGTAATTGTACAGAACAACACATTTAAAATAATCTGTATTTATTACAAGATACTTAATGATGGTGTTTGTGAATTATGTGGAGTGGTTTGTGTACGCAACTGCAGATCACTGGGGATTGGAACTCATGCCTAGAATAAACTGCAGTTCCTGCATTTGCCTATAAGCAACCATTCAGAGAGCTTTATAATTTTCCCACTGTTCATTTCTACACCACCAGACTGTAGTTGATTCGACACCTGTCTGTCAAGGAAAGGAAATCCAACCCTCTCGTCTAATTTCTTCTGTTTGTCATTTAAACAAATATCAGTGAGGGATTCAACAAAATGCCGTGTTCACACAAACAATGCGTAAAATACTGTGTGCTTGTTTCATCCTCATTCTAATATCAAGTCCTCCCTCCAGTGGCTGCTGTAACAGCTTTTTTACTTTGTCAAAAAGAACAGGAAATTCTCTCTCTCAAAGCTAAATTCTGATTTATTTGTTTATTTATTTATTTTAGTGCTTCCAGCTTGGCAAGTGAACCTGTTACCTACTCTTTTGTGAGTGGCAGGGTCTTCATCTGTTAAAGGAAGAAGAAGGGTATCCATTGTAAAGACTAGAATGCCGGGGATTCTTGGTTTCCACATTGATTTATCTGATTAGGGCATGAGGGTTAGTTTACCAAGGTAAACCTGTTCAGATAAATTTTATGTTTCTTCCCTTGGGTAATAACAAGTCTTTGAGCACCTGTATGTATTTTTTAAACTGCATTAAACTACCTGTCCCCAGTTATGAATTTTCAAATGTTGTGTGGTGAGGACCACCCCATTTGTATGACTAGAATAATTTTCTTCTGGACTATCACAAAACACTATCACTGTCATTTTCTAGCACTTCTAGTAATTTTAACTGGAATGGGTTAGGTTTTTTCCTAAATGATTTACTAGAATGTACATGGTTTTGTGCTGCAAATGTACAAACTAATGATGGACAAGATTTTGTATTTGGGGATCTTTTGTCAGTGGAGCATTTGGAAACATCAGAGAAGAGTCTTTAAAACCATCCACATGTGTGAATTGACATTTGAGTCATTTTAATATTTACATCAACTATGTTACACACTAGAAAATACAAAAAAGTCTCTGAGGTTTTGCTGTTATTTTTGTTGATTACTTCTGTTATGAGTGCTAACATGATTAAAGTGTTAGCCAAAAGATGCACATTTTAACTGAATCATGTTGAGTTGTGTCATAATTTAACAAGTACACATTCTAAGCAGAGCTTTCCTGGTGGAGTTGTGTCTTTAAAAGAATTTTGGCAGTGTACTGTCATTTCCCATCAGCTTAATCTGAACAGCCTTCTGCAGAGGAAGCTGTCAGTCTCCCATAGGTCCAATTTGTGGAATGGATTATTGAACTTCCTTGAACCCCAACTTAAAAAAACAAACAAAACACCCCCCCACCCCACCCCAACCCTCTCCTTAGTTAATAACTATCACCCCCTTAAATTGCTGTGTTTTTCCTTAACCTTCAGGAAAATGTCATGTCATGGCTTTCTCTAAAGACAGTCGAAAAATAGTCTTTATTATGCTTTATTAGTTTTAATTTTTTTTTCTGCTGCCTTTACAGTGAGCTGCTGTTACCTAAAACAATTTGGGGTTCTTTCTTACAGGTCTAAGTATTAGGGAGCCAGTAGTACTGTCGGTGAATCCTATTACTCTTTGTTTGAAAGTTACAAATTGCTACAGAGATCCAGTTCATGTGAACTCATCTATGATAAAGTATACTGGGGAGAAGAATAAAACAAATTGTTAATGACTGACAGATAAAACAAAGAACCGGAAAAGATGAAGGGGAAAAAGAATTCAATGCACAGAAGTCTTTATATTGAGAAGGAAGAAGTGGTGATTGTGATGTAGTTTTCTCCCTTGGTGTCAGATTCAAGATGAAAGGGATTGCAGTTATGAATGTCTGGGTTGCCTTCTGTGTGACAGGAGAAATTCAGAAATATTTTTCACGTAAATTCTCACCTTCAGTATATTGGAAGTTCATTCTGTACCTGGACATTTAAATATTTCAGTGCTGATAATGTATTGTAGAAATCACAGTGGTTTGAAACTGCTCCGTGTAATTTTACTAAACCAAAACTGTATAGCACAGTGAGGACAATAAAGTGGAGTTAATTAGTGAAGAAAGTTATTAAAGATTGTGGATGTTCTGTTGATTTATGTTTTGTTTCTTCTTGTGGGTTCTACTTCGGACAAAATAATGTGTTGCTTCTCCAAAAGGCTTATCATTTACTGATGTTACCTTACAATCACAAAGAAGTGTCTATTAGCTATGTGTCCTTTTAGGATTAGGGAGAAGTTAATGTTCATTCTTCTGAACTTGAACCTTTGACCAAACGTGATGCTGCCGTGTGTGTCACACTTTGTTGTTAAACGTCTTGATCCAGGATAGTGTGGTGAGACTTTAGAGTGTCCAGTATAAGTTTTGAAGGATAAGAAATAGAATTTAATTTTACCTTACATATCACAGGGTTTTATAATACTCGGGGAAGTTTTGCTTTTAGAACAAGTTCTGTTATTTTGTGATGTTAGCAGTAGCAAATGAGATCTGTTGCAGCAGAAGTCGATAAATTAGTTTATTTCCAATTCCTGTTGATTTTCAGATTGTCCTTCGAAGATCAATGTACATTCACCTCAGTATTTTAAATCTGTTGACAGTTTGGGTAATGATGGCTCAGCTCCAGCAAGGAGGCCCAGATGAAAAAGAGAAGACTACTGCATTAAAGGGTATGAGTCTTTTTGCCTTTTTTTAACATATATTGACATTTCAGAAACAATTATTAAGGAACAGAAAATAGTTTGATACAACTAACTATGGACTGGAATCTGGGAATTGTAGTACTGGAAGTTACTATTAGTCCATCTCTGCTAATGCTTTTTGTCTAATGGTGTGTCCATTATCAGTATTTCATAAGATGATATGAAAAATAACGATCCGTGGTAAGGAGTAGCAGATTAAGATACCCATTAATTTTTAAATTTTTTCCAAATTATCCCTTGAGAAAGTTGACTGGTGCTTTTGTGTTCTTAGTTTCTGGGATTTATCATTTAATTTTTATGCCACTTATGATTTATAATTATGCAACCATATAACAGCTTTTAAAAATCTCTTTGACTAGGGTGTTAGCAGGAAAAACATTTTCAGGACATTGATTTCCATGCTGATTTTATAAAGTTTCTTTGTACTGCTTGGTTTTTTTAAAAAATAAGTGACTTAGCAGAGTAATTTTCTTGAGGAAAAAATAAATAAATTACATCTTTTAGATAGTTTTTTTTTCAATATTGGAAGTACATGGAGTTGGTTAGACCTACAAGTAAGCTAACCAAGCACGGGATTAAAGTGGTTGCATCACACACTTACTCTCTAAATTGTCTTTCAAGAGAGAAGAAGAATATACCTTGCAACTCCAGTGTAAAAATTGGATTTCTACCGAAGTATTATTAGAAATATACGTTCTACTATACAATGATAGTAGATGGTGTTTCTTCAGTTGCAGGTGTTTTTTTGTGGAATGTTTGGCGAAAACCTACATGGTGCTTTTTTCAAACCTTGTGCTAATTCTGTCAAATTAGTATATTTTGTTTGGAAAAGCAAAACTCCCATTTTTATCCTTGGCATTAATTTGGTATCCATGAAGGGTTAGTGTCCGAGAAATACTCCACATAAATGAAAACTTTCTGTGAGGGTGTTGTTTTCTTCATGTGATCTAGTGAACAACCGTTGAGCTATAGAAGATCTCCTGCAGATCAGTTTTGGGCTCTGTTGGATTAGTCTCGAATTGAGTTGGAGAGTCCAAGATCTTTGGCGAGAATGGTGGATCAGATCGGGAAAGAATCTCAAAGTTATAAGAACACTTTAGCTAATTTTAAGTTGAAAATTTGCACAAAAAGAAAGTGTCCGTGTTGGTGATTGGAGCACACACCAATTGCAGCCTTCCTGAGAGACTGATGGAAGCTGTAAATCATGACAAGCTGTACGTACTGCAGATAAGCTTAATGTAGTTCATATACTATCGCCCTTGCTGCTCAGGAGATGGATATTTTATTATACAGTTACTGTCACTTCTGTGTAAACACATTTCCAACTAGGTCACAGTAAGAAGACATGAAAACTCTGTTGAAATTAAATTCTAGAGGTGTGGTGTGACTGGAGTCTCTTCACCAAGGAGACATGCTGAAGGCTGCTTTGCTACCTTGGCATTGTGAGAGTACAGAGGAAGAAGGGGCATGCTTTCTACATCTCTGACAAAATTCTGATCTTTTCTCCTGTTGTTTGGTTGAGGACCAAAGCAGCTGCCCAGAACTTTCAAGGGACAGTGGACAAGGACAAGCACATGATTGCTTAAGTGAATTGAATGTCATGGGACTTACTATTAAATAGATGTGATGTAGAAGTGAGCTACGGTTGAGAAGGCCACATTTAGAAGTCTTCCAGTCAACACCCGATGTGGTATAGCTATTTAGATAGCATAGAGATGCTCAGGTACCACAGTACAGGTTGGAGAGATGTTGAACTTCAGTGTCCATACAAGATGGCCATTGGTCCTCCGGCTTTACCCGGCAAAGTCACATAGAGAAGAAGCAGCTGGAGACAATCATATGGACACTGGAGTGAATGTCATTGAACCTGAAAAGTTATGAAAGAGCAGGCCAAGAAACTCAAGAGTGTTGAAGCTAATTTTCAGTACATTTAAAAGAGTGTAGAAATTTCAAAAGATTCATTTACCAATACTAACCTTAGGCAATGTGAGTAATCTATAGGCTTGTCACTGGCTTCAAGATGAAGCAAAAATAGTGGTACAAAACCTATCCAAATGATGATTTTAAGTAAATAAAGGATGGAAGTATAGTTATTGTCAAACAAGGTGAGTTTAAAAAAAAAAGTCTTTTAAAACTGTTTTCTTTCCTTTGAGCTACAGCTTTGGATGGTAAAGGTAGTAAACCAGTATACTTAGAATACTCGATCCATTTCCTTGGTAATACTTGGTATCTTGATTTCTGAAACAGTCATAGCTCAAAGTCAGTGTAGCCCTCCTGAACTGAATGTTTGTGTGGTCTTCAAATTCATATAGGAGAAAGCAGGAAAATGCATTCCAGTGGAATCCTGCTGAATCATTTTTTGATGATTTTTTATTAATAATCAGAAAGTATATTAAAAGGATAGCGTTGGGTTGTGTGGGTGATGAGCAGTGAGGAGAGGGGAGGTGATTATTACCTGTGTATGCAGTAATTGTTAAGTAGTTAGATGCAGCGGTGTCCCTGTGTGCTTTCCTCTGGTCACATGAAAATCCTTTGTCCTGGTTAATTTTTCTTCTCAGTATCTCGAACAGTGCTGTGTTTTGGCTTCAGTATGGATTTGCTACAAGAAAACTGTTGATAACGCTGATGGTTTCAGTTGTTGCTAAGGCTTCAAGGTCTTTCCAGCTCCCCGTGTCCTGCTAGTGCACAGGAAGCTGGGAGGGAGCGCAGCCAGAGGGCCAGGCCCAAACTGGCCAACGAAATATTCCCTATCATGTAATGTCGTGCTCAGTATATAAAGGAGAGTCGGCCGGGAAGGGGGGGTTCTCTCTCCGTTCTGTGACTGAGGTCTGGGGATCTTGGCTTCTCAGGGATGGCTAGCCAGGAGCAGGCTAGGCGTCAGTCATCAGGTGGTAAGCAGTTGCGTTGTGCATTATCCATTTGTACTTTCTATTATTTAATAACATGGTTTTATTTCAATTATTAAACTGTTTTTATCTCCACCTATGAGTCTCCTTACCTTTACCCCCACCCCGGGCGAGGGAGGGTGAGAGAACAGCAGCGTGGTGTTTGGCTTCTGACCAGGTTTAAACCACAACATTCTTAAATCTAGGGTGAAGAATGCAGCCCGTACTTATTTTTTAGTGGGCCTTCATTAGTGGATGCAGGCTTCACTAGATTATATCATCCTGGTCTGAAAGGAATGTGTATGTCATGGCGTGCTATAAAATGGATGGCAGTTTTCTCTACCTTGAGAGTTATTAAAGGAGGGTGGTTGAGAGATAACTCAGTCTGTTTGGGTATCAAAGGGAAGGTTAGGGAGTGTTGTGAGCACGCAGCTGGTACCTGCCTGTGTGATGACATGCATTTGATAATCTGAGCTCTTCAAGGAGGCAAACAAGAATGTATCGATGACTTGATATTGAAGCAAGATATGGATCTTGGCTTAGTGTGAACTTACCAGAGACATACTTCTAACATTGGGGGTAATGAATCACTGAAACAAATCACTATGTCTTTGGTGGCTTCTCTGTCCTTGGACATTTTCTGATCAACACTAGAGACAGAGAGGCAAATAAATAAATAAAAAGATACTGACATTGAGGCTCAGCATTTGAATCTGGAACGAGGTTTCCCATAATGAGGTCCTGTGTTTAGTAATATGTAGGATGTCCTTCTGCCCTTAGCATCTACAAATCTGAACAAACACATTTTGTCAGTGATAATAGTGAAATGAAAAAGACATAGCATGCATTATGTAATCTTTCTCTTCCTTTTTTAGATTTATTGTCTAGAATAGACTTGGATGAACTAATGAAAAAAGATGAGCCACCGCTTGAATTTCCTGATACTCTGGAAGGATTTGAGTACATTTTTAATGAAAGTAAGTCGTATATGCTTTGTGAAGGCTATACTTAGAAAAATGTTGAGAGGTTATCAGAACTTTAATTATGCCTAATAAGACCCTATTAGAATTTCACACTTTTCTGTTAAGAATAAAATTTTAAGCCTTAGTGTTAACAGACTTGTAAATCTAGCTAAGTAACATTTTTTTTATTTCATAAAACTGTCATGAAAATCCCTCATTTTATACAATACTGTAAGTTTGTACCATGCATACTTTATTACTTCCTGTTTTCTGTTACAGAAGTGTTGATATAAAAATCCTGAAAGTAATTTCTGCAGCAGTAGCATTAAAAAGGAGAATTAAAGAGCGGTCCCTCGCTTAAGAAATGTTTTACTTACTGAATAATCTTTATGCATGTTAAAAAGTTATTATTTAGATAATAACTTAGCCCTGCCATTTTGCCAGTACCAGTAGGAAAACACCTATTTATGTCGGTGGAAGGATAAGCAGTGTGATAGACTCTTACTCTTCTGGCGTGGGTCACGGTTTTGCATTACAGCAAAGTGTGTGATGACAAGTACTTCCAGTTACCTGAATCTGCGTGATAAATGAGTTAGTAGTATTTATAATTTCCAGTGCATACATTTTAAAATCCAGCTGAGAAATAAGCCTCTGAGCTAAAGTAATACCAGACGTCAGGAAATGGCTTTTTAAAGATTGTTTGAAACCTGTAGGACAAATGGGGACGTTTACAATTCTACTTCCTTGCAGTGCCTGTTCTGTGAACAGAGGAACTTTAGTTTCTAAATCTGCCTGTCTTATATCTTCCACTTTTAAAGAAAAAAAAAAGAGCTTTCCTTTAAATGATAGTCATTTATGCAACACTTAGCTTTTTAATACCCTGATGGCTTTCACAGGAAGGTACTTAGAGACTAAAAGTGTCATGAAAGTGATGCTCTTTCTTTGATGGGAGGGGTTCAGCTCTGTCACTTTTCAGCTCCTTATTTTTAGATCTGCACAGTGTCTACTGTCTTCCTTACTGACTTCAGAGTTAATGGTTCATATGTGGTTGATAAAAAGGGCTGAAATTTGAATTTTGGGGAATGATGTTTTAGAATTATGTTATTGAATATTCCATCACTAACCTCACAGCCCGAGTGATTTCCATAGAATGCAGCAAAATCTATTACCCATGTTACTGGTCAGCAAAGCAAAAAGGTCTCCCTTTTGCTTTTGTACATTTAATTCAAATGTTCGGTCCTGTACTCTTATGTCATAATCATGCTTCTTTTTATGATAGAATAGTAAGGAAGATTTTTATCAGATTTAAAGAATTTAAAGAAGACAAGGGTTCTACAAAGCCAAAGGAAAAATATACCAGATATTTGCTCCACTTTACTTGTGGAGAGAGCAACTTTGCATACTGTTGAATAGCATACTTGAAGAGTAGCTAGCTGAGAAGAAACAGCTAAAGGTAGAGTTATGATGGAAGTATGTGAAGAAGGATATTTGGACCTCAGACAGGGATATAAAGTAGGGGAGAAGTATCTCCCTGGTCTCTGGTATATGAGGTAAGACAGATCTGGAAAAAAAGTCAAATAAGCAGATAAGCATAAATATTAGAGATACCAGATCTTAAATATTTTATTTAAAATGTCAAGAATCAAAATATAATGGTCCTGAAGAGGTGTGAACTAAGTTAGAAATTTTTTACTATTCAAGAGGAAACATTTTGCTGAGAAATCTTACTTTCATCATGCAGACATTTCAGCTTTCAAAGGAGGTACTTGTACGTATTCCTGGTTTTAATGTATCTCTGATTTACTGTAATTTTGTGATGCTCTGAGACCATAACTTTGAGCTTTGTCTGATAAGCTGAACTGGTGAGGTACCTGTTTTCTGCAGTTACCTTCTTATTTGGTTGCCATTTTATTTTTATGATTATTTTAACGCTGTCCGTGTCTTTGTCTGTGGTTGGGTATGCTGCTGAATTTGCTACAAGCCAAGCCAACTGCAGAAATTTGCATTGCAATCTAAGGACAGCATGTGCTTTAGGCTCTGATAGAGCATTCTCCTTTGTTCTACTGTCGTAATCTCAGAGTACTCTGAAACTAAGAGCTCTTACTTGATTCCACGGTGCCTGGGAGTGGAGATATTTACCATAATTGTGGACATAGGTTTTCTCAGATTAATTTGGAACTTTGTTAATCTTGAAAATAAAAGTTTCCTTTCCTTCCAGCCTCCAGGCCAATTTGTACTCACATTTCTTCATAAATGCAGTTTGTTTTGAAGTTGGGTATTTGTAGCTACAGTTTGGCCACCTAATTGACGCTGCAGATCAAATATTAACTGCTACTGTTTACATTTCACTCTTAATTCGTAGCAGACGTGCAAAGCAGTTTGACTTACCTGCACGTAATTTCACTGTCACCACTTGTGTGTAGGCTTACCTAGCTACATGCACCATTCAAGGGGAATGTGTTTTGTTATGCTACAATTGTTTTCCTTCAGAAATGCTGTAACCAATAGAGAAGGAATTCATAACAGACCAATTTTTAGATGTATATTTCTTTTAAAATTTTCAGTGATTAAATTTATCTCGCTTTTAATGAAGTATATTTAAATCTAATGCTTTTTTTTTTTTATACAGAAGGGCAGTTGAGACACATCAAAACTGGGGAGCCATTTGTTTTCAATTATCGTGAAGATTTGCATAGATGGAACCAAAAGCGCTATGAAGCTCTTGGAGAGGTATATTAATTGTGTGCATGCATGCATGCGTATATATATTGGTGTGCTGGTTTTTGTTATATTTCTCTATAGAAATGATACTTTTATATATATTAAGAAAGGTGTAGTGAGGCTGAAGTCATTTAAAAAAAGGTATTTTGGGATTTGTTGCATGTTAATGCTCTAACAGTCATTTCCATTATTTGCTGTATAGCTGAAGATGTGATATAGACACAGTTTGACTTTGTGTGTTCATCTAGATTACACAAATCAGAGAATATTGTACAGTGAAGGATTTTCTTTAACTTTCTTCTCCACAAGGCAAAGCACTGGGTACAAAACTGGCGTTTTACTTTCTAGCTGAAGATTAATGTATTGGCTGGTTTTCTCATGTTACCAGGAGATACCAGGAGCCACCTGTTTGATTAAGTAGAGCTCTGATGATTGATTGATTGATTGATTAAATATTTGTTGATGTATTAGATACTTGGATTCTACTGGTGCTTCCCAGGCTTTCTGCTGAGAGGTTGTGGATGTATTAGGTGTAGAAGTGACTGACCATGGTTCCTCTTCTATGTGAAAATGACTGATTTCAGTGACATGCTTATTGTCACGCTTCAGGAGTCAGACCATTGACTGGAGAAGAAAGGCATCCGATCTCAGTGAATGCAAAACAGCGTGTGCTGAGGGCTCCCTTCCACTGCCCAGCAGAAAGAGCAGCCTTGGCATGCTGACCTCTAGGTAGTCACGCTGCTCATGTCAGAGTGGCTTTTGGAGAAAGGGGGTGCACAGTTCTGTGCACAAACTAGGGTCTTTTTCTGAGAGGCTCTATCACATTGCCCAGCCGTTTCTGTTGGAATCGTTACGGCTTGTCATTCAAGAACTGCCTTTGCCTCATGGCTTGTCTACTCTCATTAGTGTTATTGTTTTAGTAAGGATAAAACACATTTATTCCCCACTTACTCTTTCTGTTGCATTAATTCAGACTACTCAGAGATATCTTTGATTGTGCATGTTTAGACATTTTGTCTTTTAAACTTTCTTGTTGTCACAGTTTAACCCCAGTGGGCAATTCGGCCCCCCCACAGCCGCTTACTCGCTACCCGCCGTGGGATGGGAGAGAGATGCAGAAGGGTAAAAGTGAGAAAATTTGTGGGCTGAGATACAGGAGAAAGCGTGTGGGCTGAGATACAGTTTAATAGGTAAAGCAAAAGTTGCGTGTGCAAGCAAAGCAAAACAAGGCATTAATTCACTGCTTTGTATGAGCAGGTGGGTATTTATCTTCGGGCTTCTTCCTGCATGACGGTGACCTGGGAAGACAAACACCTTGCTGGATGAAAACGCCAGAGGTGTCCCCTTTCCTTCTCCTTTTCCCCCATCGTTTTTTGCTGAGCATGACACTGTATGGCATGGAATATCCCTTTGGTCAGTTGGGGTCAGCTGTCCTGGCTGTGCCCCCTCCCAACTTCTTCTGCACCCCCAACTTGTACGCTTGTGTATTAAAAAGGAAACTAAAATCTCTGAAATGACAACCAGACCTACACTGTTGCAAAGTTAAGAGTATAAACCATCTTGATGGAGTTTCTTGGATGGATAAATAAGTATATACTTAAATTTATCACCAGACGGTTTCATATAGTTTCTCGTGGTGCCAAGAGTGCATTTGTTAAAGCTGAAGAAATACCTAATTACTTGGCCTTTTCCAGGTATAGCAGGATAGTCTCTGGGAACTTCTGTAGGCACAGAGCATACAAGCCTCCATTTCAGTAGAAGTACTTCATTCTGTCACAAAGAATGAATATTCTCAAAGAACTCCTGTTCTCTGAGAATAATTGATGAAATTATCCCGATTCTTAGGTAAACTCTAGTGGATTTTTGGTGGTGCAGGTTTTACTTTTTCACTCGGGTAAAATCAAACACCACTGCAGGCTGGACTGCTGTGTCCTCAGCAGGCTAGATAACGTGGATTAGTCTGTGTCCCAGTTCCTTGCTGCAGCTTGTGAGGAGGTTTTGTGGTGGAGACAGCCTTCATGCCTGTGAGACTGTGATGAAAAGCTACTGATGGCCTGGCCAGGTCTCTGCTGGGTGGTGCTCTGGGGCTAGCTTGGCCTCTCCATTCTTTTCAGCCTGGGTGCTGTGCTGGATGGGTGTTAGCTGTCCAGCTGTTGAGCTCTGCTTTGTCCTGCCACAGCTTTGTTACAGGGGACTGGAGAATCTTGCTTTTTACCTCCTCCTCATTCCTGCAAAAACTGTGGCAGGGGAGGAGATGATGCGGGCTACTACTGCTGCCGCCTCCCACATCCTTACACCTCAACTGTATGTTTTTTCCAAAGCAGGGAACGTCCTCCTGCCCAATCTGTTGCATTGTCTAGATGACTTGATACTTCTTCCATCAAGAAGCAGATTGGCACCTGTTGCATGGCCTGTGTGTGCAGACCTTTGTGTGTGCCTGTATTGTTCAAATATCTCCATTTTCCCAATAAGTGAGTTGGACAAGACACAACTCTAAAGATTAGTATGTCTCCGTGTGGGTTCCTGTGCCACCACACCTTCTTGGACATGTTTGGCAATGTCATCAGGTTCCTCATTCTGTACATCTGAATAGCGAGCGCCACGGCTTCGAGCCACAGGAAGCCACTTTTTGTGATTTTTGGTTGGCAAGGGGATGTGGTGCGTTCATGGAGTTCGTGCTTTACGTCTGTGATCCATCTTCTGCGTTTTGCTTCAGTTATAGTTTTTGTCATGCTCAGATCTGAGTGATCTTTGAAAACGCACTTTGTTTATATTGGTGGGTAAAAAGGCAAGGAAAGCGTGAGGTCAGGAATCTGACAGGGCGAATTGGTCTAAGTTGTTTATTTCTTTTATCTTTTTAGAGAAAAAAAGAAACTGATCTGTGTTTCAGTCTGTTGTCTGCTAGGGGCTTGATACTACACAGTTCTTCCAACAAGCCACAAATTTATGAATGCACCATTGTGTGTTTTTGGCACTATGGGTGTTTATATAGTTATCTGAGAACGCAGGGGACACTGACCAGCACGACCCTTGGCATTTGTTCACATAGATAAAACCTTCTTTTGTGCCGTAGATTGGTGGGTCACGGATGTAGATGTTGAATAGTACAGAAGCAGTATATTACCCTCTGATTAGTTGTTCTATATTCTAGGGTAAAATGTGTTTAGCAAACTGTGATAGCTTAAGAAGCAGCAGCTCCTACCATTCATAAGGTGATGTAGTAAAATCTGGCCATAGGCCTTTGCTTTGAAACATCATCCTTTGGCTTTAGGAGTTGTCTCATACATATTTGTGGCTGAACGTTTAGGTAGCTGGACATACAGTGAGATGATAAAGTAGCTGGACTTGTATCATCAAACAGAAGTGGCTTATGTATTCAGTGTTTCCATTGTTAGCTCAGTCGTTGTATGCTGGTTTTCTGATTTTTAAAGGATATACCCATCTTGCCCAAGGAAACTTTTTTTTTTTTTTTTTTTTTTTAACTGTACATACGTATTGTGGGCTGCTTTTACTGCGTTTTGCTAATTTTAAGAACTGGTTGTACTTCCTGGCCTTGTGTTACAGCACCGTTCTCTCTTTCTTGCAGCATTAATAAATTTCCATTTGGTAATCCATGATTTTTTGCTGTTAAAAGTCATGAATACGCTATCTGTGATGTTCTGCCATTACTCTGGCTGTATGGAAATTGATTCTTCACAAATTACAATGGTTCGTCAACGTCTCCACTTCTTACATCTCTTTATTCTTCATTCATTGATCTGTTATTTCAGGCACACAATTTGTTCTGCAGCCTCTTGATATGTGCTTCTAATAGACAATTTAGTGAACTGTTCATAATTTTGTGATTCTGGTTCAGTCACTGCTATTGCGGCATTGAATTTTGTGGAGAGCCTCTCCATTTGCTTTTTAAAAATTAAAATGGCAACAGAAGTGCACAGAACATGGTGTTGCAGCTGCTTCTAACTGCCGATTAATCCATGTGGCAAGTTTGAAGTATGGCTGAGAACAATTTTGTGACAACAGTTCAGTTGTTGCGGACGTACCATTCCAGTTCAAAGTTGAAGTATTTTGGTTTTTTTCTGGCCAGGAATTATGGAGATTTGAATTCTAGGTTAAACTGCAGATTAGACTCACACCATGTACTTCTCCTTGAATTTTAAGTAGATATCTGTGTTTACTGTTTGTACTGCACTTTGAGTTGGTATGATGGCTGCTGAAACTGCCAACAGTCAGCTTCAGCCCCTGCTTCATCGTGATGTTGAAATTACCTGGAATTACAAAGAAAATACTACTAAAATCTCTTGCCTTTTGCCACTCATATAGGTCGTGTTGATAATGAAATTTAGTCTGAGAAAGGTAATATTTGCATTCTTCTTCCATAGTCTTACAGTAACCAGAGTACCCCCACCATCAGTAGGCAGTTACTGTCTTTCCCTCTGCACATCTTTTACAGCTCTAGCACTGGGTGATTATAACTCGGTGATTGTTTGGAGGTCATTTAATATTTGCAGATGTTTTTGTGAGTGCCATCACAAATGAAGAGACTTTTTACCTGTACTGACAGTTTGCTTGGATACCCGTGTCTTTAAAGAAGTCAAACAGGATTTGTAAATATGTAGATTATAATGAGGACCATGAAATAAATGCCTCTCCTCTGGTCCTGTTCGAGAACTGGTTTATGCCATCTCTTGTATTTGCAGCCTGTCTGACCTGCAGAAGCATATAAGCAGGCAGCAGAAGAATTGTGGTTATTTTTCACAGTTACCACACCATAGCACAAGAAAATACCTTATATTTATGTAGAACAGATATGGAAGGCAAAGAAATAGAACACCTAAGTCAGAAATTCCTTGCATGTTTCATGTATGGTAAGATACAGTTAATTTTACATCATCAGAGAAGTCTTGTCCCACTAAATAAATTGCTTTAAAGTGTGTGCACAATGTTAGGTCCAGCTCATCCTAAAGTAGATTAACCATCAAGGTTAATATTTGTGTGTGGGAAAAAAA